TATTTTCCATGGATGGGATATATGAAAACGAAATTAAATAAGAAAGAACTTACACATACATTAGCTACAGTCGATATACACAGATATATTAGATAACAATGAAAGGATTTGGAAAGGTGCAAGAAGGAGAGAATCCTCGCAGTTTTTTCGTGAAGTGAGGGCATGCGGCATAGAAAGCAAATCGTATGTATGTTCCCCTGAACGATTGTAATAGGCGTGAAAAGAGATCTGTCTTTTACCATATAATATGTGCATTTATATGATTCCAGACTTGCGTATAAACTGCGGGCATATATTCGGGCTCTATGAAAGTGCTCTGCGGGTTAAATGTGAAAACTGGCGCAAAAGTAAAACATAAAGCTAAAAAAAAAACAGATTAAATGTAAAAGAGAAACAAAATACGGTTCCGTTTTTTGAGAGAAAGACACCGGCACTCTCTCTCTATCTATCTATCTGTCTCTCTCTCTGATGGACGATCGCGTGTTCAGAACGGTTTATTCGGATCGGGTCGTATATTGTCACTGGCACAGCGACGGGGAAAGTTTCGTCAAACGAGAAAGCACAAAAAAAAAAAACCAGAAAGAAATTAAGTAAAGTAAGATTAGACACAATGCCACCGCGACGGGAGAAAAACGAAAACGAAAGACGTCGAGAATGGATGAAAAAACCAGAGAGGACCTCGTCCGAATTGTTACTCTCGTCCGACTCTCGACGAATTGGCTACGAAAATAACGATCGTTTGACGTGCATAAAAAAAAAAAAACCAAAAAAAAACGGAACAAACTTAAACAATAAATATAATTTTAAAAAAATACCGTGAGGCGCTCGACGACGAAGTACAAAATGTTCGAAAGGAGAGAAGGCTTGTCGGTCGTCGTACTGCGTCGTGGCGGCGGCCGTCGCGGTGATGCAGTGCGGTGGTTGCAGCTGCCTCTATGCCTGATCGCGGCGCGTAAGCGTGAAACCCTTGCCACGTGCGACGTGATTCGCACAGACCTACTGCTATTACTATCACTACTACTACTACTACTACTACTACTACTATTCTACTACTATTCCTAATTCGGAGCTTTCTCGAAAGCTTTCGAGAGTCGCACGACCTAAGGGATGAAAACTACCGCACCTAAACGGGTATATGCCTACACAACTACCTGTTTCCGACCTATTTTTTTTTCTCAAATAGGTACACTCTCTTTTCTGTCTCGAATACTACATACACACGTTCTATGCAGAATTCACATTTGAACGGTTCTCAGAAATTTTTATCAATTCTTACCCTGTGATTAATTAGCGATTATCGTGAGAAAGTAAATACGTTCGTTAGAATTCCACGTATTCACAAAATTATCTGAATAATTTTTTAAACGGAACTTTTTTAATACCGAATTTTTGAGGGATGATAGAACAATTTTTAAAATTGCCAGAATCGCGAAGGGAAACTAAGTTCTTAGGGTCAGTAATAAAAATTCGATCTGAGTTCAATGCATGTAAAACCGGGACGACACATAGCAAAGTTAAATGACAAACCGATCGATTGTCCATCTTGCTTATTATAGCTAATTTACGGTAATAAACGCGGGGTTTATTATTATTATAAAATCGTTCATGACTGAAGATTTTAATTTCCGGATCGTAGAAGAAAAGGAGAAATGCATCGGTGCACGTGAGAATCCGGATGAGAAATAAGTACACGTGCACGGTATTAAAAACGTCAGGAGTCGACGTTTAACTAGTAACGGCATGAGTGATAACCGTTGGCATCGATTCACTATGCATTCGTTGGAATTACAAATGTACACAGTTCTTATTCTAGGTATTCCCAAGGACATGCATAAAATGAATGCATTAATAAAGAAAATTAATTTGAATATACGTAAAAATATCTTCCAGTCCTAAGCATGATTTACGACGAAGAGACAAAATTCCTAATGGTTCAATTGAACAGTTTCATATTTTTATTGCTATGATGAGAATTAATTTTACTCGAACTATAGTTCGCTATTTCCTAATGAAACAGTAAATTGAATAGGAGGTGTTGATGAAAGATGAAATGCGTGGGCGTAGGAATACGTTGCCAGGGGTTATTGTTGCCGGTTTCTGTTGCGTCGGAAAGGAACATTGCCAAATGTTGCGCCATGCACTTTTCCTCCGAATGTTTATTATAAATCACTTGAAATCGGAAGCATCTGCGATCGTTGATTCGAGGATTAAAAAACGAGAGAAACTGTCCGCGACGTCTCAGAGAGATTTCATCGAATTCTTTCGTAATTTATTAGATCGATTTCCTCGATGTTCCCTCGATGTGTACGAAGGGTGAGAAGTTGGGAGACAGGGAGGAAATCGAAGGGACCGTAGAAAATGCGCGGATCAGTCGATCGAGTTAAATGTTCAATACAGAAGTAATGATATAATAGATAAAAAGTCTCCTTTTACCAATTGTTGTCAATGCACTCTAATAATTTGAGTACCAGAGGATGATATCTTATTTATTAAAATTCTATACAATTTTTAAAAAATTATATTCACATAAAACTAGAATTAGTTTCACTATCATTAAAATAATCTCTCATGTATTTCGTTTGTATTCGTATTAAAATTATTAAACAATACTAGCAACCCATTTTTCTAAATTAACTTTCAATATGATTCTCAATTTTTAATTATTTAGGAATGTGACTGTCTGTCTGGTAGAATGGTCAGACATTATTCACTGGTATCTTTGAGAACACTGTGTAAGCACGTTTAAGTGCAGACGTGCAAATCGTCTCGACTGCTATTAGAGCCGAGTGTTATCGAACAGCAGCTAACTCACTGTTTCAGCTCCATTCCCTCAACTCGTCAATAAGTGCCTATTACGTGCGAGTGTCCAGCTTTCGCTTGATCGAAACGCGTAGATCTTAGCCACGGAATCATGTCTCTATCGTGTCAGCATCAAACGCGATGGTTAATTTATAAGCACGCGTTCAATAGCGTAGTCAGATTACTTTTAACATGTGCATCGGGATGAATAGAATTTCCTGCTTCAAACGAATTGCAACAGGAAATGAATCTCGTTTCATAACTATTTTACGTAAATGTCAAACACGAGTTCTCCGAATTATAAATAGGATACACAGTTTCGTGCAAAATAAAAGTTATAAGATATCAATT